TGATGTACATTGTACATACAAAATTTAGGAAACTGTAGGGTGCTCACTATGACACAAAAATGCATCGCAGTCGTAATTCTTGTAAATAATAAATTATAAATATGTGGGTACCTACATCTACAATTTTTTTGGTTAAAAGGATATCAAACCCGTGTGTGTTTTCTCCGTTTTACCAACGGTGTCAGCCGTCAGGTGATGTGTTCGAATGAATTTTTGTTCGAATAAATTTGCATTCGAAAACTTTTAGATTATTACACTGATATATTGTATATTTTACAATATTATATTGATATAGATCAGATATATAGGTATAGAACAATAAGTTTAATCTACTCGTTATCGCAATATAGGTTTTTGTGACATATCTTTATAATTTATAAGTCAATAAACACATTTTAAGCGATAAAAGAACTAACATGAGTACAGATAATATGGAAAAAATATGTAATTGTTTATTCATATAATACAATTTAAATTGTGTTTCAAGTTTCTTTTTATTCTTCAGAAAGTAAATATTGTCCATTATAATATGTACCAAAGGAATATTGTTTTTTTTTTAATATACCTATATTATACTTATTATGTTTTAATATATACTATTATTACTGAAGTGTAATAGTATTCCATTATTATGTGCAAGTAAATAAGCCAAAGGAATATTGTTTTTTATTTTAAATATGTATTATTATTTTGTATTCCTAGTCACTTTAGTGTAATTCCATTATACAAGTGTAAACTACGCTTAAATAATAATTATTTAAGGATTACCTATTATTTAATAATTTGTTTTGTTTTATTATGCTTTAATATAGTTGATATTTGTCTGTTGTAACGGACACACGTTCATTTATGCCTCTCTTTACAGTTAAATGTTTTCTATCTAAATTATTTTATACTTCCTGTTATTTTAATATGAAGGACACTAATACAAATAAATTGGACAAAATCTAAAATCAATAAATGAAATGAAATCTACTCAGAACAAAATTATTGCATCCTATATTTAATTTCGGGTGGAAAAGAGGTCACTTGATTTAAGCCCCATTGATCTTAACGGTAGGTTAGATAATATTTCTAAGCAATTTAATGAAATTCTGACTAAAAATAAATTAATTGAAACCAAAATGGATCATCTTGAAACTAAATTGTCTAAATTAGAATTATCTTAATCGTACCAGCCAAACTTCATTAAATCATGAAAAATTATTTATTTAGACTAATGACCGTCAATCTAGAAGTTGAAACGTCATTCTATTTAATCTACCTGAAACCCAGTCAAATGCCGACGATAAACTGAGTATTTCTAATATATTTTGTCAAATTTATGTTGAACCTATTAATATTCTACATTTATGTAAATTATCAAATAAAAATAGGTCTATTCGAGCTATTCTACCTACTCTGTATGATGTTTTTTAATTTCTTAAAATTAAACTTAAGCTTAAAAACCTGGATGCTTTTAAAAATATTACTGTTTCAATGAATAGAATTTTGCTTCAACGTAATCACTTTAAAACTGTAATCGAGGAATTAAATGCAAGAAAACACGCCGGTGAAAATGATCTGTTTACCTATTGTTTCAAAAAATCGATTAAACCTAATTTCAATTTAAATCACTTATCAATATATTATCAGAATGTCTGTGGTCTAAATACCAAATTGGAAGTTTTTTCGTAATATTGCTTACGCTAATTATGACATTGTACTATCGGAAACTTGGTTATGTCATGAGGTAAATGACTGCGAACTTGGTCTTCTTCCTAATTATATCATCTTCCATTGTGATAGATGCAGTGTTTTAAAAAATGTTACTAGAGGAGGTGTTCTAATTGCTGTTAAAAACAAATATCATTGTTGTCGTATACCTATCCAGAATAATATTACTGGACAACTATTTGTAAAATTATCTTTTGATTCTTCTATACTTTTAATTTCCGCTATCTACATTCCACCTAATTCTAATTTTAATATTTATAATGGACATACCGATACTGTTCATAGCTTGTTATTTAATTAAAATTAGGTGATTTTAATTTACCAGCTATTAAATGGACTTTAACTAGTGATATAGCTGTTTCTCATAGTTATGATAATATCGAATCGGACGTTTTAACTAATTTTTCTTATCTTAATTTTAAACAGTTTAATAAAATTAAAAATCATAAAAATTCTATTTTAAATTTAATTTTATCAAATGCGTTAGATGTTGAAGTGGAATGTGAACTATATGCGTTGGTTCTAATAGATTATTTGTATCATCCAGCTTTACTAATTAATTTTCAGTTAAATTTTAATACTCAACCTTTGTTTTTTAATGAAACTACATATCATTATTTGAACTGTGATTATAATATTATTAGATCATCATTGGTTACTATTAATTGAGATCGCATGTTTAATAATTTGCAAATAAATGACGTGGTTAATGTTTTTTATATTATTTTTGGGATAATTGATAGTAATTTTATTCAAAAATCATTTTTTAATAATACCCTATATGGTTTAGTTCGATGTTGAAAGATTTAATTTATAAAAAAAAAATTGCCCACATATTGTTTTGCAATCATGCTCTTGGTTCACCTATTTATATGTTAATGAAAGTAGATAAATACGTCCATGTATATTTATTTAATTTTCCTTCTTTTAATGTTCATGCAATTATATTACTTATTATTTATAAATTACGTTTTTATTTTTTTTCTCTCCTTCCATATTTTTTCTATTTTGTTATCTAAATAATTTTTTTACTATTTTGTAATTTTGATTTTTTTTGCAAGTATTATTATTTTTTATACACTTATATACTTTTACTGTCAATCATTTAAACAGATTTAAGTCCGAAATTGCAATAACTATAAAAATTGTTATTGGATTCATCTTGTTTGAATTAATAAATACATAAATATATATATATATATATATATATTATTATTATTTGTTATTTTTTGGTACTGTGACTTTAGTGTTTAATACAACTTTTAATTAAAATATACCAAAGGAATAGAGTTTTTATATTTTAATACTAAACTGTTATATTTATATTATATTCCTACTCTTACTAAAGTGCAATATTATTCCATTATAATATGCAAGTATATACCTCGCGATTAAAAGAATGTTGTAAAAAAAAAATTTAAAAAAACCATAAATTGATGTTTATTGATTTTTTTGCATATTTTTAAATTTTTAAAAGAATATAATGAGAATATTTGAAGATTATTTAGAGAATTTAGCATCATATTTTATGCGTTATAAGATAATATAAATCCGGTCTTTATTTATAACAATGATTAACAATTAACAATGTTATTTATAACAATATACCGAAATACCGACCGCAATATATTCCCGACTGTTATAACGCGATATTGAAATGTCGACAAGTATTATAAAATTAATATTTATCATACATTAGAAAAACGTATTATTAGTTTTTGGCCGAGTTGAAGGCGTTTGCAAAATCATGAGGGCGAATTATTAGAACAGTATTCACTTTATTAATTATTAAATATTATATTTAATATATTAGCATATAGCAGTGGATCTAATTAACGTCATTCAGTTTGATGAACCTATACTTATTTGCATGTGCTACATTATCACACAGGGTATGGCTGTTCCATCGTACAATTATGTGTATCATAAGCATAACGAAAATTACAATTTGAAAAAAGCTTACATTTTCAAAATAAAATTATCTGTATATACCTAATAAATGTTCAACATCATATCCAAAAAGATCTGTAAATTTATAAAATCTATAAAAAGATAAGTTTGCATATAAATTGTCATGTCCATACCAATAAATATGGCCTTCAGAATTTAATATTTCGGCTTTGTGATTTCACGGGTTTTCTCTTTTTTTCTAGAAATTTTACCAAATTACTTTAAAATATATAAAACAAGACTTTAATTGTTTAATCAATAGGATAATAAATCAACCCATCCATTCATTTCAGAAGATGACGATCAAAACTTAAATCAGATATAAAGTAATATTACTTTTGTAAAGTAACAATAAGTAGTTTAATTCATTATTTTTATATGGTCTGTATCATTAATTTATGTTTACATATTTTATCCACCATTGTAATTCTAGAATATCTAAACTTACATAATATGTTTTTAATACTATAAATTACAACCATCAAACATTAAATTATAATTCAATAATATGTGTTTAAATTTAGTAGGAAATATCAAATAATCAAATTTAAGATTATTGAAATGTTTGAATTATTCAAAGTGTTTTGAAGCTATCTGTAAATAATATTATTTTTTTGCATAAAATAATATAATGTATGCTGTATAGTATAGGATTGATGATAACTAGCTTAAAATTATCATGCCAATAACCAATGCATTTATTTCTTCATATTTGCAATAATATATTTGATTATAGAATGAACACGATTAACTGCATTACTAAAAGTTTAGTACCTTAGCCATCAGATTGGTCTTAAGATCGATGGGTTGAAAAAAAGAATAAATACATTTAACTGATATGCAGTGGTGGGAAAAATTGGTTGTGAATATTGTAAGTCAGTGGGTACATTAAAAACATTTAAAAGTAAAAGTTTTGAAATATTTTATGAATGGTGCTTTTCAAAGAATGATGGTGGTTTAAATATACTTACATCAGCCAGATTGACTAATTTAAGGCAAAATATTTTAAAACATAAAAAGTCTAAGCATATATGGAAACTAAAAAAATTTCATAACAAAAACTTTCTAACTTATAAAGTAAAGCTTTTCAAACTGGTCAATCTAATTTCTATGAAACAACACAAAAAGTTTATCAAATAGCTTACTATATTTCTAAATATAATATACCTTATGATGAACACTCAAAATTAATTGAATTACAGCATCTTAATGGATTTAACATTAGTAATACATTGCATTCTAGGTACTCTAGTTACTTCTAGGTACAATATTTTCATATTGTAGATAAAATTAAAATTAAAATAGTTCAAAATATTATGTCAATAGCATCTAAAATGTCTATTCTTATGGATGAATCTACTACAGTAAGTTCTTTATCAGGTATGGTGGTTTATGTTACAGCATCAATATTAAACTTAGAACCTACTTTTATATTTTTGGATTTGGTAGAATTAAAAAGTCAAACAGCTTCTAATATAGTCAGTCAATTAATAAAATGTCTTTATACTTCTGGATTCACAGAAAAATTTTTGGTAGAACATTGGATATCATTTGTAACAGATGAAGCTAGTGTTCTCCTTAAAAAAAGAAATGAAGTGGCTATATGCTTGAAAAAAAAATATCCCTTAATTTTTAATGGCACTATCTTAATCATTGAATAGAACTGACATTTGGCGATACATTAAAGGATATAACTGCTACCAACCATTTTAAGTATTTTTTTTTAGATTATTTATATTCTTTATACAGCAGATCTCTAAAAAACAATTAAAAGAACACTGTACGTATTTAAACGAAATTATTTTAAAAATTGGAAAATTTCTTGACGTTTGCTGAGTAACAAGTAGTTTTAGATCAATTAGTGTAATTTGGAAAATATACCCAGCATTATATTATCATCTTATTCAAGCCACTCAAGATACATTTTGTGATTGTAAAATTAAATCTAAATATAGTGGGCTTAGTAAACGTTTGGGAAGTACACAATTCCTGTTAGATTTAGTCTTAATGTGTGAGATATAACAACTATCACTTGACTTACAAAAACAAGATATGTCTCTATTACAGGCTGATGTACTAGTAAGAAGAACAATTAGAGTTATTAAGTCAATGAAAACTATGAATGGTAATTATTTTTCAGAAGCTGTTAAGGGGGTTAAAAGTGAGTCGTATTTTCGTGCATTTAGACCAATAAGCGGAAGAAAAAAATAACATACTTCTAGAAGTCCGATTTTAATTTTAAAAACATATTTGACTTCATTAGCTTCTTGTCTATTTTTTGTAGAAAATGGATTTTTTATTTTGTTTATTTTTAGTAACACAAAAATAAAAGTTAATTTTGAATTATGGGAAAATACATTTGGTACTATAATCAATCAACAATATTAAAAATCGAATATTAATTTCCTACAAAACATAGACAAGAAGCTAACGAATTCACATATGTTTTTAAAATTAAAATCGGAATTTCTCTACTGGATGAATTTTTCATACGCTTTTTGTATCTTTCATAATTCTTCTGGTGGTGAAATTTTTTTGTTCACAAAATTTGGTGACTTGTGACTGCGCGTATGTATGCTACAGATTTCCAAGAACCATAACCGTGACCACCGTCGCCGTGACTGTATACGAGCGATAAATAATTAACTGTAGCTCTTTATAGACATAATAATATTGACAGTAATCACATTTAATAATAATATGTAAACGAATGACTATTTGACCTATTTGTAGAGGGCCTAGATAATAATAATTTGTATTATTATTATCTAGGCTCTCTACCTATTTGTATATAGGTAGAATATAGATGATAAATTATAGTATTACCTACCACACTAGTTTAAAGTTATCTACTTATATTCAATTTGTTGAACATCATATAGAAAGACTAATAAAATATTATTTTTCCATTTTTTCTAGTAATAAATGTAACCCATGTCACTTTAGGATAATGTAGCATTCTAATGGTGAAAGAATTGTTGAAATCGGTCCAGTAGTTCTTGAGTTTATTCGTTACAAACATACAAATCTTTCCTCTTTATTATATTAACTATAAATATATTGTACCAGTAGTCCCATCCGGCATTGCCCGTGCCAATTTTTTATTCTTTTTACCTTTATTCCCTTTTGCTTTACTGAAGTTGCCAATAAGTGTTGTTCGTGTAATAAAAAATGCAATGCAAAAATACATAGATTCAAAGATACTTCGGTAACATTTTACGTGTTTTCATTTATTAGTTATTACCATAGATACACTCACAGCACAGGGATTGCACTTCAATAATTAATAACGTGCATTCATGTTTTTGTATTGTTCCAAATTTTAGGGGGTGGATTTTAATAACTGTAAACCTTCTCCAGACAACGCACAAACTTTCCAAAATACCGCGTTAAAATCACTCCAGTAGTTTTTGAACCTATTAATGTCAGACACAAAGAGACACTCTTATATATAATATATACTATATTAGTCTTCAGCTTAAATATCTGGCAAATCTTTGTTAAAATAATAAAATGTATTGTATATATATATATATATATATATATATATATATAGATTACGATTACCTGTTTTGTCTAAGCTAATACATTTTATTATTTTATCAAAGATTTACGAGATATTTACACTAAAGACTATTTTTCTTCTAATTTGACTGAGCTGTGATAAAAACGAGCAGTTTTAATTTTATAGAAATTAAAAGTGACAATAATTATTTGAATATCTAATATAGACTTTTATAGTTTATCTGACCATTCAATAACAGTAAAGCGGCCCCTACACGATCAATAATATTGAGTCAATAAAATTGTGTCAATATTTTGTTCAATATTCATTTCCCCCAAACCTCTCAATATTATTGCCCAATATTCAGTCAAGAAATATTCGTTGGCCAGGTCATAAACGTGTTGTTTACGCTGTCTTAAAGGTGTCAGTATAGTGGCATTTACCATCTGCTATAAATTATAGATTATAATTGTTTTAAAAATGTATCTTAACGATACCGAATTAATTTGCATCGCGGTAGCATTTGGATTAAACCAAAAAAATTCCAAACAAAATAAAAGAAGACGTTGGATAAAAGAGTGATATGAAAGAAGAGAGCAATAAAGTTATGAAAAATTATTGAACTTTCTACGAATGACCGAACCAGACGACTTTATAGAAATTTTTTGCGAATGGATGCTACATCTTTTGAGAATTTATTGAAAGTATGTGAAATTAGCTATATTTTATAAGTATAATTAACTAAACTATATAATAATTGTATTATCATTATAGCTTTTCACTCCACATATTCAAAAACAAAATACGATAATGAGGGAAGCTATTTCTATCAATGAGAGACTAATATTGTGAAGAGAATATTGTGTATTGTGCAATACATTTCCAACCTAGTTTGATTTCTTCAAAATATTGTACAATCTTTCAATATCTATACTAGACTGTCAATAATATTGCGCAATATCAATTATTGTGCAATATTTTTTATCATGTAGGGGCCGCTTAAGTACCTACAAATGTAAAACGTAACATAATAATATGAATGAAATAAATCCTAAATTTATTTTGTGATAACGATGCACACCTACTACCTACAACCGAGGCGATCTACTACCTGCTACGATGACGTCGTAGTTGGTGGCAGTACACAAATTAAATTGCACTCACACTAATTATCGTTAACGACTAACACAAAGATAACTGACAGGGAGAACAAGATTATAAATTGCCTAAACACTACTCCTTAATAAGTCGTTTTCAACCGCCTTAAAGCTAAAGAAAAAATGATATTTAAAACTGTTGTTTTATCTAGTAACGAAAAGATAACTTGTATAAATGAGAACCAGTTTATATAAGTGTAGTAAATAATTTAAATATGAGACTTATACCAAATGAAGGTGAAGAAAAAATAATACTTGAAGATTTTCAAATATTTGATAAAAAATTATGGCCTTCTGAAGTTGAGATACGCTTTGGTAAAAAAGATATATTTGTGACAGATTTTTTATTAATGAAGTAAAATCATTAAAATTGATGCGAATCCATGTTGATGACTATTATAATAATTATATAACTTAAATTGAAGAACTTAATGACATACATATTTTAATCAAAACATTTCCATGTTAAACAGCTTAGTGCGAACGTAGGTTTAATGTTATGAACAATATATGTATCTTTGTATATCTTTGTTCAAGATTTCTAATAAAAAACTTTTCTAATTCGATGATTATTAATATTAATGGTCCACCTTTACAAAGATGGAATCCTAAAGATAATGTCGAAAGTTGGTTAACCTCTCATAGAGACAAGCTGATGACAAGTCAAGAAAAGTTAATACTAGCACTACACAGACCCAAAAATATAAAACATGACAATTACTTTATTTATGTAAATATTTTTAAAATGTTTCATAATATATTAATTTATATTTTGAGTTAAATTATAAAGTTTTCAATTTTGTTAAGTATTATAAGTTTTAAACATTATTTATGGATCACGAATTTAAATATCAATCACACTTTATGAGGTATTATTGTATATTTTATAGACAACTGATAAATAGACAAAATAGTGAATACTTCTTCAATATGCTATCTACTCTAAGTATTTTATCTACCGTAATTGGTAGATAGCATAATTTTTACCATAATCTACCATAATGGTTGGCCGTTAGGTTAACATGCTATCTACAAATGAAAATAGTTGGTTTGTTTATCAAAAATATGATAGTCACTGGTAGAAAACATGGACGAGTACTGCTTAGTGTGGTGTATGGGGGGTATATCCCTCCACATTATTTTTTACAATGATTCAGGCATGTGCACATACACTTTTTAAAGGCTACATCACTGTAATCCTAACTACATTAAAAAAGCATGTAAACCCCACAGTTTTATTCAAACATTTTGTAAACGGTGCACAAAGTAAGCAAGTAGTTTGGAAGTCTATTTTTAGAATTTGCAAGTGCATATTTTAACAGTTATTGAAGATTTCTGCTTTACAAGGCCAACTTTACGCAATCCTCAACTTAAACACACAAATTCTAAACCGGTGCAAAAACATTCCCTGTAATTTGCAAGAGTTTGCCCATTTACAAAACTTGCAAGTCGGTTCCTAGTCCAGAATGAACTTTTAACTTTATTAAAAGATTTCGTATTTTTAATATAAGACAAATGTCTATACTATTTTAAATTGGGTTTAAATCAAAAATAAAAATATTGTTTACCGTTATAAGAAATTTAAACGTTATTCAATGTATGTGTTTAAACATTTGTATGATTTTTTCCATTTAATGTTAAAAACGTTAATCGATTTTAGCAGTTAAAAATTGATTAAAAATTAAACATCCGTTTTATGTTTTTTTAGACAAAAATAGTCACTTTACGTGGTAATTAGATGTGTTTAAAAACACTTAAAATTATGCACAATACTGAGTATAATTCAATAACATAATAGTCAGACAACTAGAATTGAGTAAACTCCCACGCCAGAACCATAGGCTGAAAGTCGAACACATTAACAAAGAAATAAAATATGTATGGTAAAAATGTACATTACATAGTAATTGTACATTTATATAAATGCCGAAAATATTAATCAATTTTAATTTATTAGTTTTCTTAGTTATTATAAAAACTACAGTAGATATTTAAAACCGACTTTCTTAGTCAGTGGCTATATATTAAAATGAACAATATCGATTTCTTATTATTTTTCGATTGGAGAAATTTTTCTCGTAAAAACATAATTTGAAAAAATTAAAATCAATGATATCGGTAATGCCATGGTGCGTCGTAAATATTTGCCACTTAACCTGTAATTTTCTTTCTGGTTTTTCCAAATGATTTTGAAAACCCATTTGAAAATCAAAAAAGGTGGTAACGTTGCATCAACTAGAACAAATTTCCTTTCAGAAAAAGTGCTACACTATATAAATCGAAGCAAGATTTTTGGCAGAGAGTTGTTTACAGACAGATAAAAAAATACACATCGTAGTAAAACTAATAGATCCCTTACTACGCTCCAAATCTTATACAAATTATTTAGAATTTATATTTTGTTATTTTTATTAAGTGACATTGAAAAATTTTAAAAGCTCATTCTGGATTAGAAACCAACTTGCTAATTCTTGTAAACGACTTGCTAAATTTGTGTAATTTTCAAAATCTTTGAATAAAGTTGAGGGGTTAACTTCACGGACGTAACAATTTTAGCTGAATTATGGAAATTATTAAAATATTATTATATTATCTGATTAAAGTAAGTTATATATTCTAAACCCTACTTACATTTAAGACATATATTTTACTTTATTTGAAACGTACATAAAGGTCACTTTCATACGAAGGTTACATACCTACTGGAAATTATTTAGTAATAATTTTGTCATTTACCACTGAAAGTACAAAAATAATGTATACGGTACCTAATACCTAACTATATACCTAGCTTAGTATTTAAGTTGAATACTGTAGTAATAATTATTGTGCTATTTTTATGAATGGTTTTTTTCAACCTGTTTATTATACCTCGTCTAGACATAAATACTGTCAGTACTATAAACGTATATTACTCAAGAATAACACATCGTACAGAAATTCTATAAATATTATAAATTGTATAAAGAATATATAATTACAATTTGAACCATATATATATTACTCAAAATTCCCCCCCCCTCGTTTTCAATACAACGATGTAATCTTTCCGGTCATTGCTCAATACACGTACGAATAATCTCCAGGGGGATTTCTGTAGCTGCCTTCACAATGCTTCGCTTTATGGATTCCAAATTTGCGTGTCGTTTTTTACAAGGTCTCTTCTCTAAAATACTCCATAACCCATAATCAAGAGGGTTCAAATTCGGACTTGCAGAGGGCCAATCAGATGCCTTTATAAAATTTGTAACATTATTTTCAAACCATTAATGGCCTCTAACGATGACCTAACATATCTCTATTATTCTGCTTGTATTTTTTTTCAACGGTGAATTTTTTTCATCTGTGATTAAAATTTGTTTTAAATTTTATTCGACCGTATGAGCATAGGAGCTTTTTTGATCTTTCGAGTCTTATTCTCTTTAATCGGTTTATCAACAAATGGCTATTACATCGCTTGTACGCACGCATACCTAAATCATTTCGAATTATACGAAAAACTAATCACGTGTTGATTTTTATCTCTCGTGCGACTATTTTCTGTTTCCATAAAGGATTTCGATTAATTCTTAAACAAACGGCTTCAATCGCCTTTTTCGTCCGAACAGAACAAGAACGATCATTTTTAACACGATCAACATCACTAGTATCAGAGCAACGTTCGGTGGTCCGATACACAAATTGTTTACTCATTTTAAGCGGTCGCAAGAGAGCAAAAGTTAGTGACGCGGATTTACCTGATTTAAACAAACCAATTATGGCAATGCGCATGTAATAATCTTCCCACTCCATTGTTAGCATTGTTAGTACGGGTACTGCGACAATTGCTGTGATCGGGTCATGCACGTGACACTTATTATTGTACACTTATAATGTTGCCACTTTTGGAAATTAAAATGTCTCTTAACTACAGTGTACTGACAGAATTTATATCAAGATAAGCTTTGTAAATAAATAAATATCTATATGGTTATATATTTACTGATATTGTCTATTTATCCTTAACAAAATAATTTCCAACATTTTTTGAGTAGCTTTTATAAATACCTGAAAAACAATGTCGGGCAAACGTGATTACTAATTTATACTATGTTACGTGCTCATACGCTTTCCATAGGTAAACGCGCGTGAGTCCATAATAATTATCTGGTTAAATTACGTGCGTCCGAAAATAATTTTCTAAAGTTTTAAGAAGTGTATACATTTCAAAAATGTGATTACTAATTTTTACTATTCAAATAACAATCATTGGCATATGTTTTAAGTGAATTTTATAAGATTTAAGTATAATGCACCTAATGGTTAAAAACCATAATATTAAGTTAAATATATCTTTATTAGATATCGTTATTAAATAAAATAAACATTTCCATAAGATTTTTTACTGCACATATTTCATACGTCGAGTTTCAGTATGAGTATTGATTATCTATAATATTATCAATTCAAACAACCAATAAATTCTTAAAATTCCTAAAAATCTAAAACATTTAAAATATTAATGTATACCTATTACCTACAGTTAATATCCTAAAAAAACAAAAATACCTATACCGGCTAGGCACTGATAGCACTTATATTTTGACTTACTCTGAATTGAGAAAAGAAATCAATGACGGATTTTTTCTGCCCATCTGTAATCTTGTTTATATAAACAAAAACATCGTAAACACCTATATTTAAATTAACCAATTATAGATTAATCCGACGTTTATAATCAGACGGATTGTATGAGTGTAGAATATTACGAGTATTTAATTCGTGGCCAATTAACAATGAAAACTATTATAAGAACATAGATACAATAGAATACAATAGATACAATATAAAAATATAAGTATTATGTAAAAAAAAAAAAAAACATTACACAAGTTTTTCTTAGTTGACTTTATCTGTAAAAGGGTATTATATTATGTGCAGCAAGTAATAAATATATATTATGCCTACTAAAATAAATATAAATTTTGATTTGCAATACTATTGTGGATTATTTTAAGGGGGGTGGTAACGTGGCAATAACATTTCCTCCTTGGAATTTTTTTTTTAATCCGTTGTCTACTGGAAGTATACCGTCAATTCTGTATGTATTTGATAACTGATATTAAATTAACGATAATTAATATATCTATTAAGACCACGGACTAGGACAATATTAATAATATCATAGTTATAGTCTGATGGCACTCCACTAACCTATCTGGGGTTTTATTCAGCGTGTTTTCGCATTATCACGACACGTCGTTTTCGTTCATATTTCAAAATATTAATATTTGAATCTGCAATTTTAGACAGCTTTAAACAAATATTTAAAAAAATATTTAGCTTAATTAATTATTTTACTATAATATGGCATATATATTGTTAACAAATAATCGCTATTAACTGAACTCCGCTCAGAATCGTGTTTTCGTAAGAAATAATTTATCTTTGCTTACAGGTATACATTAAATTACCTATAAAAATGGCTGCACCCATCCCCATTATCCTTAGACGTATTTTTAATATATTAAATGCATAACCTTACTGCTTCTAGTTCTCCGCGTATTTCTTTGTGTATTAGATTAAATACTTGGATGAGTTCACGCATATGCCATAGGAGATTGACTGGCTTAACGTTATTTATTCGCATACTGCATAGGGGCAACAACATAGATATAAATATAATCATGGATAGATCCAGTGTCGTACCTGAGTATAATTTTGAGGGGGGGGGGATAGATTATGAAATACCATACAGTCAACAGAAAATTAAAAACAAATCAATACCTATCTAAAATGGTCCTATACCATAAGAGTGGATACTTTACGCCTGTTTGAAGACTATGGAAGATCAACATCATAGGTTGCATAATGTAGGTATTTTTTTTAATTTGATTTAATACTGCTTTTACAAGTTTCAAAACCACGTTTTTCGTCTTGTTTCGAAAACCAATGGGTCAGCTGACCCTGAGTTTTTGGTTTGGACATTGTGAATTTGGATACAATTAAACTAAAATTTAACTAAAATTAATTACTAGTGATAGGCACTACTGAGTAAAAACTATCAACCTACTCGATAGTTCCAATTTATCTATTTACTCGGTTATTTTAAAAAACTATCGACTATTGACCATCGACAATATTTACTATCGACCATCGACTATCGAAACTATAAACTACCGAAACAATCCACACTTAATTTTAATTTTTTTAAATCATCGTACAGTGTTATCAATTATTTAATAATGTGATGTCATATTGTTGGAAACTGCCCTTTAAGAATTAATCTATTCATTATAAGCACTTCATTTTTTATTTGAATGGTATAAACCTCATTCAATACTACTTTGTAAGTACCTACTTAGTTTTTAGTATAATGCGAGCATTTAAAAAATATTGTGTTTGTTTTAAATAGAACTATTAAATTGTTTGTATTCAAATGATCCAATTATTACTAATAACAGACTGATAAGAAGAAGATAATGTAGACATTATTCTCGGTTGTTTTATAAGCTAGTCGATGCCAATACTTACCGAAAGAAAACTATTAGACTATCGAGTTGTTTTTTCTATTGATAATATCTGTATCTACTTGAAAAAGTACTCAGGTATTTTTAAATTATCGGTAGTCAAATACACGTTTGTTTTTTAAACTATCGATAGTCAAAATAGTCGGTGTTACTACTGAATGAAAATTATCGACTAATTCATTCGATATTTTTCAAAACAATCGATGGATAAAAAATCTATTCAATCACTCGTTTGCTTTTTAAACTATTGATTTACAATTGATAGTCAAAACTGGTCAGTTTCTTTTATCACTACTAATTACTTTAAGGACTGCAGTTTTAAAGATAGTGATAAGAAAAATAAATACGATTATAAAAAGTAAACTGAACATAATATTATGAAATTTAATAGCGTAACATGAGTTATAGGCCACAACATCTAATGACAAATAGATCACGGTTAAACGAAGATGGTTATAACATTGAACTCCATATGATATCAGTTATCTTATAGACTTCAATCTTGGGTTCACAATGTTTACAACCAAGTTTTATAAATTAAATGTAATCTCCAAACATTGGATTAAAACCACGGTTATCTACACAGGTTGCGTGTTTGCGACTCGCGCTATGCTCCGCTGTTTAATTCCGCTATATATTTAAAACACTTGGTTTGTTACACAATATCGATGTTGTAATCGGGAGTAAACTGATAACTTTTTGGCGAGTTGATTGCTCTTTCTTGTAAATAGTTTAGTGAATGTTGTAACCGTCTTTCTCGAGTTAGAGGGTTTACTAATGTTTGAATACTAATTCGACTAAGATATACACGTGTGAACCGTATGATGAACGGATGAATAATACTATTTGATTTAATCAAATACGCGATACACGTATACGCATTATCGTTTTTTGTGTGAATACTAGTTGTGATTTAGTGGACAATAGTATAAATTCTAATTTAGTATAATAATGCTAAATTTAATAAAAATTGCTGTCATAAATCGGAATAAAATTGCTAGTAGAAAAGTTGAGCACAGAAAAAAAAAATCGTAATACATTTTACTGATACGTACATTTCTTATATTTTCCCGATTTTCCTCAATATTTTATTTTTGTTTTTTTACAAGCCTAGAAAATCGAAAAATTACTTTTTTAAAATACCTCCCCAGTCCGATTTCCTTATAGAAAAATTGCTACACTTAAAAATCGAAACAAGTCTTCTCGTAAAAAAGTTGCGCATAGATAAAAAAAAAATCTTTGTAAAACTATAAGCTTCTTCGCTCCACTCAGAATCTAAGATCAGAGCAACATTGTTTAAGTAAACCTAATTTGGAAGCTGATTTATTTTTCATTTTATTAATATGATCATTAAATTTTAATTTCGAAACAAATTAAATGCCTAAATCACTAATAAGTGATGTACATTTAAGTAAAAGTGTTAATAAATTATAGTTGAATGTAAGAATATTTACATTTTTGCGAAAAGGTTATTATAGAATATTTACTTAAATTTAATTCCATACAGTTTTGTAAACACCAATTGCAAAAATTATCTAAGTCAGTTTATAATTTTAAAAATCGTCAAAAGAATGAATGAATTTATAGATTTTGGCGTCATTGGCTAAGAGTAATATATAAGAATGTTCTATTACCGAATTAATATCATTTATGAATAATAAAAATAACATTCTACTCCATCAATTCAAATATTAGTTTTCATGTATTACTCAAGGAGGAAAATGAAATAAAAGTTTTTTGGATTAAAAAACCTGAAAAAAACGGATATGAGCAATTAATCTGAGAATGGTAAAAGATACATTAAAAAAAACTCGACACATAGTGTATTCTCTTCATTTCACCCATGATGAATTTTTCGAAATTGGATAATTAAAAAAAATATTTGATGAAACAATTTATAAAATAATGTTTGAAAAATAATTTTAAAAAAAAATACCTATTTCATTATTTCGTTACATCATAATTAGTGTATTATCAAAATATGAGTCCCACGTCGATTTAATGAGAAAACCGCCACACATAGTAAAAGCAGCGCTACCTGGTGTTATTTTGTTCTACCAATATCGCATATATTTTATTTTTTTTGAAGTTTCGTACAAAAAAAAAAATCTACTAATTGATACAAGTAACAATATAATAATATACGTAGACATATTAAAATGTATAAATAATAAACCAAAATAGTAAAATAAATGTTTAATTACATATAATCACTGGAAGTCTTGATATTTAAATTGAACTAATTACCGATGGTTAATAAAATATTATATTATTATTAAATTATCAATCAAC